GAAATGTTAACGCGGGCCGCATTTGGCACGCGGGCCTGACTTTGGACATCTCTGCCCTGCAGTGACTGATAACAAACACACTTAAGAACATCGTGAACTACATTGATTCTGTCACGCAGTAAATAATTGGCCTTACTACGAGCATAGATCGTGACTGATCTCGCACCTTGAGGTCCCTACGCAGCCCAATAACTGCGATGATGCAACTTCCTAACCGCCAACAAATTTATTGAGTTTCACGTCATACTTAATGTGACACTTAATTCCGGTCTTGATTGAGTACTTTCGGAACGCCTAACCGAGTAGAAATCAAAACACCTGTTTCAGATTCAGATTCAGATGGACTGGAACGATAGGAAAATCCCTTGAGTGTTCCTTCTTGAGCAAATCGTTGAGTCAGGAAATGATAAGGTGCTAGGTCCTGATAGATCTAAAACGAAACACCCGAAACACACCATGATCAACCAGTTACTGCCCACGTTCCCAGCACTAGCGGTCCCCGCTGTATAGGTTACTTGAAGTAAGAAAGAAATAGAAAATAAATTGAAGATAAAGGGGAATGAAAGTCATTAAAATGAAGGATAACACCAAAGCGTGAAGAGAGTGACAGAATAAGAACTAAAAGTTTGAAGATGGATACGGTCAGGAGAAGGTAAAGGCTTCATGTTGCCACCCAAGAGCGTCTAAGTGACGCTCGAAACCCTTAACCGTAGGTTCACTGACTGCACTTTCTGGAAGCGAGTTCCAGCACTCGATAACTCTACGCGATAGCCGAGTTTCCGCCCTGATCCGGTTAGAATGAGGCTTGCATAGCTTCATGGGATGACCGCGAAGACAAGGCAACCTAGTCGGGCTAAATAGCCAGCTCAAGTCCGGTCCAACCTTCCCTGTTAAAATGCGGTAAGTAAGGATTAGGTCTCATCGAAGCCGTCGGTAGTGCATTGAATACATACCCAAGCTAAGTAGACGCTCGGGGTACGATTGCCCCCATAACCCATCGACCAATTTGTTACCTACTCTCAAAACCCTCTCGAGCTCCGTTTTGTCTCGAACAAGGCAGGGAGGTCAAGCATGGACGCAGTATTCCAGATGGGGCCGGACGAAAGCTGAGAACAGCTTCACAAATATGTCGGCAGTTAAGACCCCGAAAGAACGGCGTATTAAGCACAACATTCTGAAACCCCTAATTGCGGCTTTCTTCCAGTTGTCACCAGCATGCAAAGACGAGGAATGGACGATGCCTAGGTATACCTGGTTGGAGACAAGGGGGAGTTGGACCCCATCGAGTACTTAGCTAGAAGGCGGGAAAATTGCTTCTATACGAAGGACTGAACACTTAGCATGATTTATGGGCAGTAGCCACAAAGTAGACCAGTCCCAGAGTCTGTCCAATGCATGCTGTATGGCCTCAGAACCCCCAGGAACATTTGCAACATTCCATAGCTTAAGTTCATCAGCAAACAATAAGGATGATACCCCAAGCTCTCCAGGGAGATCGTTTAGGTAGATGGAGAACAGCATCGGTCCAAGGACCGAGCCCTGTGGGACACCGCTAAGGACCGCTTGCTTAAAGATAAGCTGCGGCCCACACATACACACTGCTCTCTTCCCTGAAAGAACGCAGATACCTAGTGAAGGGAGCGGCCAGATACGCCGTAGAACCTCAGATTTTGTGATAGCCTCAAGTGGGGTACCTTATCAAACGCTTTCGAGAAGTCTACGAAAAGCACATCCACTACGTGGCCATTGTTCATTGCTTCGGCCCAAGCTTCACGAGCAACCAACAAATTCGTCAAACACGAAAACCCCTTCCGGAATTCATGTTGTGCACTACTGAGTAGATCAAATCTATTCAGGTGACATTCCAATGAATCTCTTACCAGCTTTTCAAGCAGTTTGACCACGACGCTAGTCAGACTGACTGGCCTATAATTGGCTCACAGACTCCTGTCGCCAATTTTGAAGATGGGACAGATGACAGCCTCCTTCCATTCAGAAGGTAATGTACAGCTGTCAATTGACTTCTGAAACACCATCGTCAGCGGTCCACTTAGTTTCCACGCCAACTCATGCAGAAGCTTCTGATGAATTGAATCAGGTCCAGCTGCTTTGGAAGGGTTCAGTTCTTGTAGCAGTTTAAGGACTTTCGTTTCCAACACAGTAAACTCAGTTAAATAAGTACCCTCAGGTATGCTGGGGACAAGTTCAACGCTAGTCAACAAGGCCCCACGTACAAAAACCGCTGCATACTGCTCCCCAAGTACACGAGCCTTATCTGAGTCCGCATACGCACGAGTTCCACCGGCCCACATCAGAGTTGGGATTACCTAAGTTGAACCACAGCGTCTCTTAACATAAGCGAAGAACTGCTTCGGATTTTCCGAAGCTCCACCAATCAATTCCTGTTCGTACACCAGCCCAGCTTTCCTTAAGTGTTGTTTACATATATTTCTAGTCTCGCGGTATCTATCATAGGTGCTAGTTGACGGAGCCGCACGGTAGATCCTCCAGCACCTAGAGTGCTTCTGGAGCAGGTACTTGCCAGTGGTATCTATCCACTGCGGCCGCTCTCGTGTTTCCTTTCTTCTCGCAAGCGGGATGTAGGAAGTAGACACTTCCGTAAGATAAGCTTTAAATTTATCCCAGGCCGACTGAACCGTATCAACCACCGAGATTTCGCAACGCATCCCAGCAGCCTTGATACGCATTGCCTGATGGTTAGCACACCATATGTTTGGAAATGGCTTAGTAATGCTCTGGTGACGCCCGGTCAGAGTGCACCTGAACGATAAACAATCATGATCACTAGCACCTAAGGGAGAGCTGTAAGTGATGCCACCTACGAAGTCTAGTGACTTGGCAAACACTACATCCAAAATAGACGGAAGTTGGAAGTCCACGTACCTAGTGGGGAAGTCCACGAAATGACGCAACGGTACTTGTAGTGTAAGCTCAAGTGTTGGTTGACGTGTGTTACACAACCAGATACCTCAAAAATAAGCCAGCAACATGATCGAAACATGTTTTTTTATTATAAACAATGATGCAACTATACACCGTTAAGTCTAGTCACATTACACTATCGCACAACACTGATGGCACCGATAGGTGCTCTGGAAATGCGTTCAAGAAACTGCAAATTCCATTCCGTCAGCGTCACGAGTTTCTGTGGATCCTTGCCCGAAAGTTCTTTGTAGTGCAGTCTCATTTCATTCTTCACTCGGACCTTCAACATCTGCTGAAGATTTTCCATCCGATTGAGGAACGAGAAGTACAGTTGCAATCTCACAATGGTTACTCCTTCGTATACTTCTACTGATGACAGTTCTTCCAGACGTGTGATATAATGCAGTGTCACATAATAAGACAAGTTACCGGAGCTCAACCTACCGCTATATATTGTCTAAATAAATTCGCAGCCATTCGAGATATATAGGGCCAGTGAACGAGCCTCTCCATGTATTCATCGACGCTTTCCCTTCCATTGTGGATGCACCGATCCAATTCAAATTGAGGCCTTGCTATTGGCTACCTGCAAAAGACCCTCACTCTGCTGAGCGCCCGACCACCAGTACGTTTGCAGCAAACGTTGAACCTTGCTTTGTCAATCCATATGAAGAACTTCCCATCGCTCTCAACTTGGAAAACTACTGAGAAAAATCCTTTGTAACTCTTTGGTTCGTTCATTGTTCATTCCTTCGGGAATTTGATAGATGTTCTTCATAATTATCAAACGGCCATCCAGAGGACATCTGATTGTTGACCTTGAAATGTTCTTGTCCATTTCTACCGGCAATCGTAATCCCATTTCGTGTAGTGTGAGGGTTGAGTCCACTGCGATACACTCCAGCATGTCATCTAAGTCTTCCTTCGACAGAATTGGCTTACAATCGCGCCCCTGCCTAGTACTCCGCCTCTGATCAAGAGGACGACGGATCCAGGAGTGGGTTGTTTGATTTTTGACACTGTTCACAGTTGCCACGAGCTGTCCGTCATTACGGCTAATGAAGGCACCCACAACTCTTCCACAAATGTCTGACGAGAAGCTGTGTCGCGCACGAGTAGGCACTCGGACGATGCTGGAACCATGGATATCGATTCGGTCGGGCGTTTATGTTGCCATTGTCCATTGTTCTCAAAGCAGTTGTGATCTAGCCTTTCGAAGTTGCGAGGGCATACAGGCTCGTTGCAGCGCTGCTGTCCATGTTCTCTAAGGTTCCCGCACAAGTGTCACCCATTCAAAGGGTGACGCATTCAGTGGACTTGACCGGCGCACCAACCCTTAGCATCCAGCCAATGAGAACACACTTAAGGTAGGAAGATTCGCTTAGAGCAGCTGGCGAATGGCACTGGATTTTGCAACATTTTGGAGTTTTTTTTGCAAAACATTGCACTTTTTATGAAACTGCGGAAAATGTTGTAGACCGCATCAGATACAGTAGCCACACAACAAAGTGCATTGTATTCTTTTTCCCATTACCAGAGGGATGCGCCCTCACGACATGTCAAATTGCACAGGGTGCACATTTGATGGTTTTCCTCTAAAGGGGCGCACAATATGTAATACATTACAAGAATGGTAACACAGCCACCGGGGTTAAAATGAGTTTGAATAAGATAAGCGAGTTTGCATACGAGGATAGTAATGGAGCGTTTCAGGCGCACAGGCAAGTCATGGGATATTTGAATTTTTATTCTCCTGTCGTCCGTAACACTCCTGAACTTTTCGACCCCAAATGGCTTTCCTGACTGTTAATCAGACGCATGGATCTCATGTATGCAGAATATTCCACTTGATCCGTCAGCGCGCGTGACATATGGCTTGTGTAACCAAACTGACTTTTCCTCAGTACCAAGTTTATCGGTAATTTCCAGCTCATCCAACGTGCATACGTTTGGTCAAAGTACACGTTACATCTTTGAAAAATTTTCCGTAGTCATTTGATAACACCTCAAATGACGCAACGCAGACCAGGCTCATTTTATCCCTTATGTTTCAGAACAACTGATGATTCCAGAAATACGCGCCCCCAGAGATCAATCAACGCGATCTCAGCCACCATTTGGTCAACCAACAGGTAGGAAATAACTGTGATATGTTTCAGTGACTAGTGCCAAGAAAGTTATTTACTTTTGCTACACGTAACATCCTACTGGTAGTCGTACGATCTGTAATTGGCAACGGAATGCTAAATTAAGATGGAAGCAAGCTTATTTTGTCAGTTTCGATCAAACGATAAGTGTGTGATGCACCGCGCTTCACCGAAAGAGTTGCTGAACTAAGGTATGTACTACTAATTAGCAAAGCGCAATCATGGATGTGCCGGATTATGTGAAATCCATTTAACGCACTTAAGCACTTGAGGCTCAGCTGGTTCATTGACCCCACTCGAACGACGCGGTGAACTAAAATCTGTGTTAAAGGAGCACGCATATTTAAGAAACTAAACGAGCTTGGTCACTTAATCATGGCAAGGAGATTAGGGATCCCGGTTTAAATTGCTGTAACACCCCATTCCATGCGAACATACCCTGTAACACAGGGCAAGACTAGTGTAACCAGTGGTTTTTGACAAATTGCCATTTGCATGCGCTCCAATGTGAAGCGTGTTTCTCGACAAGGTGACAGAAAAAAGTGATCAACGAACGATTCAGTAGATACGTTCTTAAGGTAATGAAAATGAACACAAGGGTGTTCGGCAAGTCAACTCAGCTTCTTAGTGTTGTAATGTTCATGCCCAGTTTCACTAGCCAGCTGTTTTGCTCCAGTGAAGATTCGAGTTACCAGGATGAAATCAAAATGCACGCTGCGAAGCTGCACGAACCTCGTTACAAGCCTATTAAAAACTTATGCTTGCTAAACAGGATCTAACGATGCTGGGCGTGATGGTAGCTGGCAAGTCATAATAAGGAAAACGACGCACGGCCAAGCAAAGAGCATCACGAGCACATGGGGATCACGTTTACTTGGGCCGATTGAGCAAATGGGAATTGGATTGCAGCGTCAGGAGTAAGCGAGTTTTCCGCACGTGACCTTGATTCGGAACGGATGGCACAGCACGCGATGACAGCCTATAGGCCGAGCGAGCGAAACGGACAGAGCTGGCAGATAGAAAGCTGATCAGCACTGCAGACAACAATAGCTGCTCATATTTGCAAGGACCGAATGAACCGACCAGAATGGGATCTGGCTATTTCGAACAAAGCGCAGCGTTGTTCCAGACAAGCTAGGATTGATCCAAGCAGCTGCGAACGAATGAAGGGCGCTAGCCAATAAACTCAAAGTGATGGCAGAAAAGAATCAAGCATTTAAATTGCTGGGAACCGATCAAGAACTCATGAATTCAGAAAGATTTGAAAACAACCGGTTGGTGTAGTTTGTGGGTAACGTTCCGCTTTTGACACGAAAGCTTCCTCAGGCCGAGTGAACCAGTCGAGGATTGGTATAGGACTTATGGCGAACTGGGATGATAATCGCGACGAATGGGATGTAGGCAGAAGGTCAATCGCGTTACAGGTCGACGCATCACTTTAAATAGTACATGGAACGGTCACATGTGGTCCGCATTACAAGGTCATACACGTAAGCCCTGTCAACGATGGGTAAGGGGATGATGTGATGTTCATTCTCTGCCCTGGATCCGTCCGCCAGCGCTCCTCAGACTGGTCGGGTTAACACAGCTCGCCACACGCTCGGAAGCTCTGCCCCGTCCATTCTGTTCATGCAGCTGTTCACTATGCTAATCTCAATCGCCTCAGCAGTCAGTCTCTGGGGAGTTGATCGCAACCCCTTTCTAAAGATTTTGACGTTATGCAAGTCGATCTCACGCCCTGTATCTATCGCGTGCATCGCTACTGCCGAGCTCCTTAGTAGAGCCAAATATTCAAGCTCGTTTCTCGGTGGTCGTGTTATGCGTCGCTTGTGTTCTGCTAGCCTTGTGCGTAGCTCCCTTGCGGTTTGGTCGATGTACACGTGTGTGCAGTCTTTGCAACTAATTTTGTGGGCGCAATTGGATGTCCTATCTGCGAGAACTGGATCTTTCAAGTGCACTAGAGTAGAGCGGAGCGTTTGGCCTTTCTGGAAAATTCCCCTTATGTTTTATTTATTTATGTAGATAAATTATTATCCTGGTAATTACCAAAGTAGCAACCTTAATTACTATTCCCTTGATGCAATTAATGGTAAGCAGGTATTCTCAACGGCTCAGTTGAACTTGTTTCTGGGAGTCCCTCGCAACACATCCTATGCTTTTCTGCGGAATAATAACTAAAATGTGTAACTGTTGCTGCTGCCACCGGGTCTGTTGCTTCTGATGTGGTTGGTCGTGTTGCTGCACCCAACAAATGGGTCTATGTTTTCCCCGTAATACGCTTGTGTCTTTTAGAACACGATTGTACCTGAGTAGTGATCTGGAGTCGAGTTTTGAGTATGCTAATCGAAGAAGTAACCTAGTGCAATTTGAGCACAACAGCTTACTGCCATTTGTCCTAATAGGTGTTAGCTTCAGGAGAAACGCATCTTATTGAAGTGGAGATTGCATGAGGTATGAGGACACTCATATTCTATGAGTTGCGCGTCATAATGAATATTCGCGTCTCCCAGTAACCTGCAGGGATACTGCATTGCACTTAATGCGGCAAGTAATAGACACATTTTGGCTCCGTAAGTATGCAATAAATTAACAAGTTGTTATCACACCTATATTCACAATGTCTTTTCAGAACCATATTTGAATCACTTCCGCTGAGAATTGACAGTGTATTCAACATACTTTTAACATTTAGGTCGGATGCAACCTGTTACTGGCTTCGGAGACAGGCTGGTTCTCAGGAGTCAGGGTTACGCCCGAAGAGTCTCTGGATGGACCCTTTTGCTATTATGCTACGATAATTTATACATTTTTTACCCGATGCAAATCGTATAACTTTAAATGATAATTCCAATCTGAATCTGTTGTTTCACTACCCTGGACTGTAAAGTAAGCACTCGGAACAAGGCAACGCTTTCACTGTGTTGTTTTCGGGTGAAAAACGACAGTCAACTCTAACCACGAGTAAAACAGGGTCATTCCAGTCATTGCTACGGTAGAGTGAAGGTTCACATTGAGTACTGTCGTGGTTCACCGAGTGAGTGGCAATTCCCTTATATAATGTGCACCTTCGTTTACCTGAGGCATGTAACGCAAGCAAAGGATTTTTTCGCACGACATATATAATTATCTGCTAGATCAGGCATGTCAAGCTGAGGACCCCTCAAGAGCCACATTGATCAACTTTATTTGCATGGCAGTAACAAGTGGCAGTTAATGAAAAGCTGTATACATGCATCTCATACATCCCGCATCCCTTTATGCGGATCTCAAGTGTGCCTACAAATGGAGTTGTTTTCTGAGATCTGTAACCCCATTTCTAATTGGAATGTTTTCGGCGTAGCCTGTTGGTTGTCTAGATGTGATTGTGGTCTACTGGGGATATGTTTGCGACGGACAGATAGAGTAGATATGCCAGCCAATCGTATTATAAGTTACGTTGTTAAGCTTCTTTAATCGCACCAATCCACGCTACGCACTTAACTATCTCCCCTTAACCAATGCCTTACTTGATATCCCTGAAAATAAAGTCGCCTAAGCGTCGCGAACACGCCCATTGGATTTCGCAGGTAGCAATCTGATATTAGACTAAGTTAAGCATTGGTTTATCAGTAGTGCCGAAACCCACATCGGCACATGGCATGTCATATTGGTTTACTAAAAGCCTCTACCACCGGCGTAACTGGTCGTTCCCGCATTCCCTTGTGCGAATGACACGAACTGCCGGAATAAGTTTTCTCGTACAGTTCTTCAATGGAGCATTTACTTTCTGACGACTCAGGTGTAAATTGTGAGCATCGGGATCGTTTGACACGGTGATCATTTGTGCACTGAACAATCACAGCGAATAATGCTGGGAAAAGATTGACTGCAGCGGGAGAATTAGGTCAAAACCTTATTGTTCACGAATGTGATCGTGCCAGCTAACGCCCACGTGACAACTAAAACTGTATTTATATTAGGATGCTGTTGTTATTCCGGTAACTCGAAACACAGCCAGCTGCAGGAGAGCTGACGTTGTCATATCAGACCATACTGCATTCGTTGTAAAGCGAAAGGAAATTTAACAAGAATTTTCAAAGTGCGGCTGCAAGATTTACATTCAATATCCTGGCAAAGAGTGCGTATAAGTCCACGATAAGTAGCCAAAATAAGTTGATCTTGTGTTCATGATGGTGCCTTAGGTTCTTTTGTCTTAATTATCTGTTTTTGTTCAATTAGGTTTCGCCCAGAAATTGGTCTGGGAGCTGGCTGAATTCATCACATTTAAAGCAGTTAGATCTCTACAAAGTTGAAAAACGCAGTAATAAGACGCAAGCTGGAAGATGCATGCACTTCGTATTGCCTCCTCAGTATCATTATGAATAACCGGCAAGTAACTATATACATAACTATATGGGTGAACAAATAAACATGTGGTGCCAAATGAGTGACGAAGTTCCACCTATATGTTCATGGCAAGCTTAAGCTGCCAAATAATTGATTTTGTACAGAGCTGCGCAGGTTGTGACCATCAGTCGAACTCGTAATGCCCCGGTGCCTCCGACGAAGAAAGCTCAACCGATCGGAGTCAACTCACACTACATACACCAATTCGTGTGCAACTGCGGAGCCAGTTACATAGACAGAACTAATCGGTCCTTAACATCTCGAACAAAGGAACACGTGCCAAGGTGGCTTCAACGTGAGATTGACTAGCATCTCTGCCCCACTGAAGTTCCGTGCTTGCGCAGGCCTCCAGCTTCCTCCATAGGTAAACACCTACTGATAACGCGTCACCGCATAAAGCTTGCACCAGCGTTCACACCAGTGTTACCACCCTAATCCCCGCTTCCTCCGGTCCGCCGAGGCTGTCGCGACAAGCCGGATTAAGTCGGTCCTGTGTATCAAAAAGCAATTATTTGTCAGTACTTATCGCGGATTCGTTGCTAACCAGCTTACTTCGTATGGTAATTTAGCGAAGAGTTATGCCACCATATTTGTATACATTATTGGATTTATTTTATTTTAGCTTGTCGTTTCAAGTGAATGGTTGTTGGTTGATATCTCCGGTGTGGCTGCGCTTGATGTGCATGTTGACAAGGTGCCTACCTGTCTATTACCCACTACCTTGTCCATACTGGCTCTAGGAAACCGTTGGTCGTTGCTGAAGGGGACGGGATGCACAGTCTTTGTGGCCGTGCTAGGCTCAAAGAGCGGTTACATGCACTCAGTTTGGAACGGACTACGGTCCACCCACCGCCTTGTGTGCGCTTGATTCCCCAAATACAGCGTGTTTGTGTTTGCCTGTGAAGGTGTGTGGGCCGGCTCCGTTGATGAAACGTGGCTCCCATCTACATGCCTCCCGGTCTTATTCCTTCAGGTTTACACTGGATATGGGGTGTGTGGATGGATCTGTGGGTGATGCAGCGCAAGCCATACAGGGTCCTTCTGTAGGCGCAGGCGTCCTGTGGCTTGCCACAGTGACAGCCAAATCCGAAATCGGATGTCGTCAACCATTTGTCAGTATAAGATTGCCATGGACATAGGGGTGGAGCATCCGCCATTCATTTTGCACCTCATGTTTATTTGTTCACACCCGTAGTTAAGTATGTGGTTCCATACCGGTTATTGTGAATGGTACTGAGGAGAAAATACGAAATGCTTACAGCAAATTTGTCGTAATTTATTATGCAAGCAAACACTTTTGCAGTGTCCCGAAACAGAAATAGGAGAGCTTATGAATCTAATATCTAACAGCGGTATGTACTTGCGAGTCAGGAGCAGTGGTGAGTTCAATCAAACCGTTGGTGATTAAGGAATGACCGAGATTTCGGTTGAAGCTGTAACTTCAAGTTAAATTCGAAGAAACATATAGGATATATCAGAATATATCTGCTTCGGTATCTTTTAGTAAGAATTTAATGCGTTATCCTTACGAAATCTACTAGAGAGCAAGGAATGGAAAAGCATCTCACTTGTATAATCCCAGGTATACGTAACACGTGGTATTAAGGCCACTAAGATATTATTGCCCATTCTGAAATTAAGTCAAGCCAGGATTGCGATGTATGTGCCAATGAATGTTGAATATTAAACTCTAACACACACTTTGGACAGGAGTAACTTGTAAAGACGATTAATACAGGAGGGTAGATAAAAAACCACAATCATCGAAAAAGTCATGCATATGAATCATGCGTCATGAGTTGTGTCCTAATGCATTATCGTAGATTTAATCTAAATATTGGTATCCAACACTGTCTAACCTGACACTGTATGCTTGGCCGAATACCAGAAGCTGGGTATCATGTGCATCCCACCGGGTGGCTATGCACCCATTCACAGTGACAATTCATTCTGGAGACGGGTAGAGCCGGTTTTTGGCCAACATAGTTGCAGATGGGCTGAATAGTAGTCAGCTGACGAGTAACTGAATAAGCACTGAGTTGGAAACTGCGGCGTGCAACAAGCTGTGCAACCATCTATGTAGTTAAGACAATAAATCACAGGTGGAACCCAGGTTCAGCATGGACGACTTTTGTGTCGCCGGCGACTGTCCGTACCTCACGACCGTTGTGAGAATAAGGAAGACGAGCCAGGACAGCCTTTCTGTTGCTTTACTTAACTAGGTCACAGTAGTGGAAGAAGTAAAGCTACTGAAACATGTTGGAGCCAAGCAGCAGCATAGAAAAGAGAATTAGACTAGTGAATGAAAAGCCGGAGCAGTAAGAACCGGGCAATTGTTTCTGAGGAACAGGTATTAGCGGAAATGCGCCTATGAAATAAATTACATCACCAATGCCATTCGAACAAATGAAAGAAATTGTGGGTTTATACAAACGTCAATAAGCAAAGGATAGCAAAGTGAAAGCCAATGATTAAAAACTGTCACAAAAATACATATATCTAGTAAACAACCTCTAACGCCTTCTCCGTGAAAAGGAGTTCTTTTTGATAAGGCTTTCATCCCAGTAGTGCACAAGCTACATAGCAGAGCCTAGTCCGGAAAAGCACCAGACACGTTTCGCCCTATTGGGGCCCGTCAGTGGTGCTTATTCGCTTGGTCCCCCACTGGGGATCGAACCCATGACTGCTAGAGGCAGATGCCAACTAGCCAGCAGCTTAGATCACTGAGCCATGGGGGACGTTGGCTGGGCTACGTAATTTGCAAGCTAACTGGGATATAACATCACCTATCTTCCAATGTCACTGACAATGCCTGCCTGCGAGTTGACGACGTCCTGACGCTAGACGGTATATCAATGGCATTTGAAACTGGGTGAGTCTATTTATTTTTATATTAACTGCGAGTAGCAGGATTTTACCTGTAATTTGTATGTAGTTTGTGAACTATGGGATGAAAGCCTTAGCAAATTTACAAATAAAATCCTGCTACTCGCAAGTAACATAAAAATAAATTGCCTCTCCTAGGTTACAATGCCATTGATATGGCGTCTAGCGAGAACACGTCATCATTTCGCAGGCTAGCCACTGCCAGTGACAGTGGAAGATAGATGGTGCTATGTCCCAGTTAGCTTGGAAATTGCGTAGCCCAGCCAACGTCCCCCATGGCTCAGTGATCTAAGCTGCTGGCTTGTTGGCATCTGCATCTAGCTGTCATGGGTTCGATCCCCAGTGGGGGACCAAGAGAATAAACACCACTGACGAGCACCAGTAAGGCGAAACGCGTCCGGTGCTTTTCCGGACTAGGCTCTGCTATGTAGCTTGCGAACTACTGGGATGAGAGCCTTATCAAAATTACAACTAAAACCTTGATGCTCATAAGTAACATATAAAAAGGAGTTATCTCAGGGAGATACGACTGTTCCGTCGGGGATACACTTGGAATGGCT